GTCCTGACTCACAGTGACCCTGATAGGGTTTCCTAGGAGCAACTGGTGGATTTGAATTGCCAACCTTGTGGTTAGCAATCCAGTCCTTATCCTACAGCGCCACACCAGGACTTCTCATATAGTCTAGCTTCTCAGGTTATTTGCTTAGCATATTGACAAAGTGTTGTGAAGGATAGAACACCTTGCTTGATTTTAAACCACAAAGGACCCTCTTGTGTTCAAACAACTGCCTCTTGGTCTATGTACAGATTCTGCATGAGCACAATGAAATGTTCTGGAATTTCTTTTCTTCACAATGTTTTCCATTATTTTGTTGTGATGCGCACGATCAGAATGGCTTTGCATAGTTAATAGACAAGCAATTTGCTGGGATTCTCTGCTTTTAACCAAGATCTACCTGCCTTTAGCAGTGTCAAAAGAGTAGCTGATAGCTCTCAAAATATGAATTGTGTCATGTGATAATGGCACAAAGTTGAGCATCCTACAATGAATGTCTTCTTGTAGTCTTATTGTTGTCAAGTACTGTTGAGTTGATTCTGACTCATAGCTAACCTGCATAGGGTTTCCAAGGAGTGGCGGATGAATTTGAACTTCCAACCTTTTAGTTAGCAGCACAATGCTTATCCTATAGCACTACACCAAGGCTCCTTATAGTCTTGTAGGTATAATTTTGCTGCTGTTGTTGTTAAGTGAAATAGAATCAGTTCTAATTCATAGGGACCCTATATAGGGTTTCTGAGGAATGGCTGGTGGTTTTGATCTGTTGATGTTTAGCAGTCTAGTGCTTATCCTCCAGCACCACACCAGGAGTATATCTTTGTGTTGTTGTTGTTAAGTGCCACCAAGTTGGTTCTGACTCATAGCGACCCTATGATAGGGTTTTTGAGGAGCCTGAACTGCTGATCATGCGGTCAAACTGACCTTGCAGTCTAGCACATTAACCCATAGCACCATACCAGGACTGTATCTTCAGGATGGCATTATATCTTCACTTGGACAAAATGTCAAAAACTGTGATTGAAACTTTTAATTAATGTGAGGTCTATAGGATAAGAATTAGACTGTAAACCACAAGGTCAACTCTTTGAGTCCACCACTAGCTCCCTGGGAGACAGGTGAGGTTTTCTGCTCCCATAAAGATTTCAGCCTTAGAAACCCTATATAGGGTTGCTGAGTTAGAGCTGACTTGATGGCATGCAAGAGCAGCAGCAGGAGGCAAAAGGGCAAAAGCAAAAAGAGCAAGATGTTGGAGCGGAAAGGATAGATGATAAGTTTAGGTTTATAGATGTAGTTCGGTGAAATATATAGGGCAAATCAACTGAGGGCAGAGATGATTGTTGTTGAGAGGTCAGAGCAGTGGATTGTGATCTATATAAGCAGAACAGGGAAGGAAGGAAAAACAGCAGGGAGTGATTGGTAGAAGAGGGAGAGAAATAAAGACTGAGAACCAAATAGTTATTAAGAGGCTGATATGTTGTTTGTTGTTGTTGTTATGTGGTGTGGAGTTGGTTCGGACTCACAGCGACCCTGTACAGGGTTTCCGAGGCTGTAAATCTTTACGGGAGCAGAAAGCCTCATCTTTCTCCCGCGGAACAGCTGGCAGTTTCGAATAGCTGGTAGTTTCAAACTGCTGACCCTGATGTTAGCAGCCTGCTTCATAAACACTATGCTATCAGATATAACATAGTTTAATTTCACAAGTTTTTCTGGATGATGACAGGGTGTAGACATAGGAGTAGGTGGTCAGGTGACTAAAGTGGAGTGGAGATGAAGCAAAACTAGTGTGTTGAGAGTGTGGTCTATATGGACAATGAAATGAGGCAGAATAACTGTGGATATTTGTACTAAGAAGGCAACTTCCCATTTCAATGTGCCTAAAATTGACATTGTTCCAAAAGGGGTGTGGGAATGGGAAAGAACAGAGGATTGAGTACATGTTATCTTTATCCATTTCTACCCTGTAATTGAAGTTTTATAGATGAGCAATCATAAATTACAAAATCGTGTTCTATGATACAGAAGCTCTTACAGAACCTAAACTCACTCCAAATAGCCTTCAATCCATTTATCAAAGCAATTTTGTTCTCAATTTAATGGCAGGTGAAACAATATTGAACAAAGCAACCTTTGCTGTACCCTAAACCCTTTAATTATAGAGTCCATAGTAATAAATGCTCTTGTTAAGGGACAGCTTCCATTAAAGTCCCAGTTTTTCAGTCACTTTGGTTCTTTAAAAGTTTTCTGTGTGATGTAGTTTCTACCTAAAGACTTTGCTCGTTTGGATTATTGGATGTAAGAGGGCACTGCCAACAAGTCCCTGAGGCTGTGCTTAGAAAGGGAGGTTATTGCAAAGGAGAGGTCATGTCACAATTTAAGAAGTAATATGTAAGCAATAAGATCTGATATACAGAACTCACAATATGCCAAATGCTAGGGCTGAGTACTTTGTATCCATTATCAAATTGAATACCTCAACAACCTACAGTGGAGTCTGGAGACTGGGTCTATTGTAGTTGAGAGATTAGCGTAGTTGCAAAACAAATCTTTTAAGAGAAAGGGCTACATGGAGTATGAAAATGACTCAGGATAATGGTGGGTCTTTATATAAAGAACATTTTTATTTTTGAAAGACTATTTTAAAGATAGGGAGTCCTGGTGTGGCATTGTAAGATAATGTACTGGACCGCAAAGTCGGCAGTTCAAACCCACCACCCACTCCTCAGAAACTCTATGTTGTTGTTAAGTGCCTTTGAGTCGATTTCGACCATGTATAGGGTTTCCGAGGAGCAGCTGCTGAGCTTGAACTGCCGACCTTGCAGTCCAAATGGCTTTGCAGTCTGGCACATTAACCCACAGCGCCACACCAGGACTCCATATACAGGGTTGCTATGAGTGTGCACCAACTCGATGGCATTTAACAACACCACCACTTTTAAAGATGAAGGAGTGACTTGTTCAAGGTCTCACCGCTGGTAAGTGATAGAACTAGAACTCCAACAACTCAAATCTCTGTAAATCCAGAACCAACATGTTTGTGTTTAAATACACTTGACCTTTGACATTTTGTAGGGGTAAGGATGGGGAGGCAAAACCAAGAAGGCACTATGGGCATTATTTATTTATACTGATTCCATTCTTCAGAGCAATGGAGCTCTGGTAGCGTAGTGGTTACGAATCGGGCTGCGAACTTTAAGGTCAGCGGTTCGAAACTACCAGCCGCTCCGCGGGAGAAAGATATGAGGCTTTCTACTCCAGTAAAGATTTACACCCTCGGAAACCCTGTACAGGGTCGCTATGGGTTGGAACCGACTCAACTGCACTTAACAACAACAACATTCTTCAGAGCAAGTAGTCCTAGAGAGGGCTAGAATCTTGTTTGTCTGATACCTCATCTGGCCCCACCCTACTAACCCCACCAAGAGATACAGATCCCTATTCAAAATGCCCATAGGCAAGCCCTGGCTGCAGAAAGTGATTATCTTTTTTGCTTAATCCTATTTATACGTCTGTTTTCCCCAGTATTGTACCAGTCCTGGGGGCTCAATCGTTGAAGCGCCTGGCTGCTAATCAAAAGGTCTGTCAGTTGGAGCCCACCAACTGCAACTGCTCTAAGGGACTTCTATAAACGTTTACATCCTTGGAAACCCTATGGGGCAGTTCTACTCTGTCCTTTCAGGTTACTATGAGTCAAAACATTGGGTTTGGGTTTGATTTTTACTAACACTGCAGACAAAATCATTAAAACACGAAGCCAGATTTCTTTGCAATGGGCTAGTAGTAGTTTAAAATAAAAGTGATGTCACACACCTTGTGAATTTACCGAAAAAGCATTGCATTTGCTTAGAGGGATGAATTGTACATTTGAATTACATCTCAGAGGACCAGGTGCCTGATAGAACCACCTCTCCCAGTCAACATTCACGGCGAACACTCACCCTTGTGTCAGGCATAGAACTAAGGGGTAGGTTCATAGCTCCCCTAGTCCCGATGGTAGGTATGGAGAAAATTGTAACTAAAGATAAACACTCAATTTTGAAGTTCAGTTAGTATGCTGCAAGTTGTAATGCCACAAAAATTGATGTTTTCTTTTTCATTTAAAACAAAACTTGATTACCTAATTGACTGGACAGGACGACAGGTTTCTTTTTGTTTTGTTTTTAAGTAAGTTACGCTGAATCAAAGAACTAGCCGCAAATTACCTAAATACTGTAACCACTTACGCTTTTACTTTTGCGTGCTGAGGTGAGCGGAAAAACACAAAATCAAGTTAGTGTCAAAAACGGACCTTTTGTAAGACAGTTGCCTGTGTTATGGGTTTCTGTAGTAACTCGAATTTATTCTTGCGGTTTTAACCCCGTATTGGCACGATTTTGCCTGTTAAGTTACGCTACGCAGGCAGGGTTTAAATGGATTTCCACGTCCTCCCAGATTTCGTTCGGCTTTGGACATTTACAATCTCCTGGCTAGCTGAAAGGAGTCTTTTTCCGAGTACTGGAGGGGTGGAACTGGACAGGCAGGGAGGACTTTCCAGCGGCCAAGGGCGGCCGCGTTTTCTGCAGAGACGAGAGTTCGGACCCAGATTGGACCCAACATTTCCCATCGGCCCGGCCCGCACAGCTCCGGGCACCCTCTCGGCCGCTGCCCTTGAAGCACAGGCGGAGAGGACTGGTTGGCGAGCGAGCTGGTCACGTGCGGCCGGGAGAGGCACAGGAGGCTGGGAGTTTGCAGGAATGTAGTAAGTTGCAGGAAAAAGTTTCTCCCGGCTGCCGGCCACGGATTCGGCGCGGGCGGGCGCGCAGAGGAAGGAAGAGCCAGAAGGAGGCGGAGCCGGCGAGCGGCGCGGGCGGGCGGTTCTCTCAACTTTAGTTTTGGCGTCTGAGGCTAGTTTCAGTCTCAGTCGGGCACAGCCGCCGCCGGGAAAAAGAAAGGGAGGAAGGAAGGAACAAGCAAAGGAAATAAAAGAGAAAGGGGGAGGGGAAAAGCAACTAGTTGACCGGCCTCCTTCTAGGGAGTTGAGCAAAAAAAGTTCGCCGCTGCCGCAGGTCTGGGTCTCTCTCGCCCCTCCCGAGGCGCAGCCGCCAGACCAGTGGTGCCGGGGCGCAGGGCGGGGGCGGAGGCGCCGGGGCGGGGGATGCGGGACCGCGGCGCAGCCCCTCGGCCCTAAAAGCTAGGAGAGCGCCGCTCCCGACGCCCAGCGCCGCTTTCCAGTCTCGGCCCGTAGAGCCGGGGCGCCCGGGCGGAGCCCTTGTCCGCCTGGTCAGGGGGTGCGCGTCGGCAGAGGCAGAAGCCATGGATCCCGGGCAGCAGCCGCCGCCTCAGTCGGGGCCCCAGGGCCAAGGGCAGCCCCCCGCACAGCCCCCCCAGGGGCAGGACGCGCCGGCCCGGCCCGGGCAGCCGGCGCCCCCTGGGTCCCAGCCGGCGCCGCAGGCTCCCCCCGCCGGACACCAGATCGTGCACGTCCGGGGGGACTCAGAGACAGACCTGGAGGCGCTCTTCAACGCCGTCATGAACCCCAAGACGGCCAACGTGCCCCCAACCGTGCCCATGAGGCTCCGGAACCTGCCGGACTCCTTCTTTAAGCCGCCAGAGCCCAAGTCCCACTCCCGACAGGTAACCTACCCCCTTCCCCGTCGGGCGGGCCCCAAGGCGGGGTGGGGGTTCCGGGAACCCTGGCGAGGGGTGGGGGTATCCTGGTGAGTTGAGGGACTCGAGGCACCCGCTCGGCTACGGTTATCTGATCCCCACTCCTCCAGGAGTTGGGGGCTGAGATTTGTTTTCTCCTTGGAGTTTCTGCGGTTGCAGCCTGGGCGGGGGGTGTGCTTTTCCCCTTCTTCCTTTCTTTCTTTTCTTCCCGGGGTTCCCAGGAGGTTGGCGGGAGTGGAGGGGGAGGGGGGGAGGAAGGAAGGGGGTGGGGAGAGGCCGCCCGGGCCGCGGTGGGCTTGCACAATGCGCGCGCCTCCGCGCGCTCCGCACCTTCGCTCCCGCCGCCGCCCGGGGGTGGGGGGGAAGGGGAAAGGGGGGGCCTCTGGCATTTGTGTGGGTGAGCTGCCAGAGGCAACCGAGTTTGTGAAGTTGAGCCCTGAGCCCCCTTTCCTTCGGGGCCTCTCGGTCCTTTCGGTCTCCTGGGGAGTCAAATAATTGTTCTCTTGTTTTCCAGTGTTGATTAGGGGGTGGGGGTGGAACTAGTCCTAGGCGTTTTCTAGCTCTTTATCCCCCTCCCCCGGCCGAAAGCATTTCTTTTCCTCGCTGCTCCGGCCCCTTCGGAGCACAGGATTCCGGGCTTCCTTTGCCCAGACTTTCCTGGAAGTTGTTATGGAGTTCGTTCCGTCACCCCTGCACTTCCCTTGGCTCTTGCAACTTGGGCCGACTCGCGCTTATCAAACTTTGTAGGTTCACGTGTTAGTTTCCCAATTGTAGACTATTATTTACAGTCTGTTGAAATGCTTTTAAATTAGCCACATCTGCACGTTGCGCAGGAACTGAGTTGCGCTTCAGAGTGCCGAGGTTTGAACACACAGGCTTTGATAATACGCTGCAGGTTGACTCATAGGCCGAGTCCTGCCTCCTTCAACTGTGATTAAAAGTTAATGTTTGGGAAGCGATGACTAATTCTTATTGAGGTTGCGAACATGGCTGCTTTACCACATACACAACGTTCGACTATTTTATCAAGTGTTAACATTCCAGTAGGTCCCAGTACGTTTTTTTCTTTCTTTCTTTAAGTGAAGGCTCCTGTAGGTGTTTTGATTTTTGCCTTTTAAAAAAGAAATTCCTTTAGGCTAAGCTGCGGCACAGGAGTTTTGTCCAAAAGTTAATTGGTTTTCCAAATACTGTCGTGTTAGTCCAAATCGGGCTGTAACTTGAGCGGAAAGAAGCGTTATCGCACCCCCAGCCCCACCCCCATCCCCACCCCCATCCCATTTCCCCTTCTATAATATATATTATTGTGTGCAAACTGATGGGAGTTTTGGGACTCAGAAAAATTAACGTAATCCCTGACAAAACCTTGGTTGTAGGACGAGGAAGGGAAAACAATTTAGCTGCTTGCCTTAATTTATAAAAGGCAGAATTAGGTATGCTTATTTTCCCCTCTTACCCCTGGAGGTGAGTTTCTGAACTCATTATGTATAAAGTGTGTTGGCATGCACCCTACAGAGTCTACACAGCTATACTGCTGTGTATTTATTGTAAGAAAAATGCACATAGGAGATTGAATTCCCCGGATTATGGCATCTATAAACCCAAAACACTTGCAACTGAAAGTAATTATTGAGCAAGAATCTATATCCAGAAGTCTTTCATGCCTCTACTAATCTAGGACATTCTAACTTTTTGATAAACAAACCCTAATTCTTATTTTAATTTTTTCAAATCTTAATAATCAATGGATTAAAAATAAACAAATAGTATTTATTTTGAATGGTATTAATCTGTGTTAAAAATACTATTGTTAACAGACTTGGATGTAAATTTTAAATGATTATATATGTATATGTTGTTGTTGTTATGTGCCGTGGAGTCGGTTCCGACTCATAGCGATCCTGTACAGGGTTTCCGAGGCTGTAAATCTTTATGGGAGCAGAGAGCCTCATCTTTCTCCCACGGGACAGCTGGTCGTTTCCAACTGCTGACCTTGCGGTTCGCAGCCCAATTCGTAACCACTATGCTACCAGAGCTCCTATATGTGCATACAGTTATATATAACTAAACATAATCAAACCAAACCCATTGCTCTTAAGTAAATTCCAACTCATGACCCTGTAGTACAGTTTCCAAGGTGTTATCTATGTGGTGCTATGAGTTAATGCGGGGACTGCAAAGTTGATTTGAATCACAAGCTCGGCAGTTCAAGCTTACCACCTGCTCCTCAGAAAGGGTTGCTGTGGGTCGGAACAGACTAGAACGACACTTAACAACAACAATAGTATCTTTACAGAAGCAAGCTATCATATCTTTAGTCTGGTCAGTTCAAAGTATGGACCTTTTGGTTAGCAGCCAAAACTTAACCATTATGACACCAGGGCTTGTATATATCATATATTCAGTGCTGCCATCGGTTTGGTTCTGACTTATAGAAACTTGGAAACTGAGCACAGGGTTGATATGACTTGATGGTGTTTAACAACAACAATAAGGTTTCCGAGGAATAGCTGTTAGATTGGAACTGCCAACCTTTCAGTTAGTTGTCCCGTGATTACCTTACTATGCAACACTTGTTCAGTGCTGTCGAGTCGGTTCTGACCCATAGAGACCCTGTATAGGGTTTCCAAGGAGCAGCTGCTTGAAACTCCAATGTTGTAGTTCAAATAACGGTGCAGTCTGGTGCATTAACCTACAGTGCCACATCAGGACTCCATGTTGTTGTTAAAGTGCTGTCAAATAGGCTCAGACTCAGCGATTCTGCATAGAATTTTTGAGGAGCGGCTGGTAAGCTTGAACTGCCGACTTTGCTGTTCAAACCAACTTTGCAGTCCAGTGCATTAACCTGCAGCACCACACCAGGACTCCTCATATATCCTAGAATACCCCCATTTCCCATCCTGAAAAAACAAACAAACCCTAATTGACATATGAGGAAACAGACTCACAGAAATGAAGCCAATTACAGGGATTTGGATGGGAACCCAGCTCTTTGAGGTCTGACTGCAGATTTTTTTTTATTGCTTTTGCTATTATTGTTGAGTGCTGTTTTGTTTAGACTCTTAGTGATCCTGTATAGGATTTCTAAGGAGCTGCTGGTAGGCTTGAATTGCCAGCCTTATGGTTAGAAGTCTGGTGCTTACCCTACAGTGCCACACCAGGACTCAAACAGTTGTAAAAATATGTAAGGGTGTGAGTTTCATAACAAACTGTTAACATTATTATCATCTAGATACCAAAGTATGGTCATAGCAACACTGTAAAAGGTTTCCGAGGAGCAACTGGTGAGTTTGAACCACCAATATTAAGGTTAAAACCAACCTTGTGGTCCACTGCATTATCCTGCAGCATCAAACCAACAAAGATACCATTAGTTTTTCATTTCACCCATTTTTATTCATTGCAGTCAGTTTCGACTCCTAGGCAACTTTGTATAGGGTTTCCAAGGTGTGACTGGTGAGTTTGAAACGCTGACCTTGTGGTTCTGACTGACCGTTCTCTACCCGGTGCTTTATGTCACAGCGCCACAGTAGGACTCCTTTACCCATTAAGATGCTTTTATGTAAGAATTTTTGGATGGTTTTGAATCTTTTGCATTCATTGAGTTTATATCAGTTGAGATGATTGGTTGATAGCATTTGTCCATAGTGGGAAAACAAAACAAAACTAATGTCATGTATTTAGGTCTTGACCTGGGGGGAAGCAAACATTAATTCAAGCTCAATTTAGACAAAAAAGAAGGCATAGTCATTATATTTCTTAGGTTGTGTTTATATCTGGAACATTTTAGAACTTGGGAAGGCCCCCATACATTTACTACTTTCCTCTAAAAGAGGCAGTGCCTACTGTATGGTGGTGGTTATGATGTTGGTTCTGATTCATAGTGACCCTATTTAAGGTCACTGAGACTAAATCTTTACAGTAGTGGAAAGCTTCATCTTTCTCCCAGCTGACCGTTTTGTAACCAGGACTCCTTGTCTAATGTATGTGGTGTGGTGATGTGCTGTGGAGTCGGTTCCAACTCATAGCGACCCTGTACAGGGTTTCTGAGGCTATAAATCTTTATGGGAACAGAAAGTCTCATCTTTTTCCTGTGGAACCGCTGGTAGTTTCGAACTGCTGAACTTGTAACCACTACACTACCAGAACTCCTTGCCTAATGTGTGTTCCTCTTGTTAAGTACCGTGGAGTCTGCTCCGACTCATAGTGATCCTGCACAGGGTTTTGAGGATGTAAATCTTTACAGGAGCAGAACACCTCATCTTTCTCCCACAGAGCAGCTGGTAGTTTCGAACTGCTGACCTTGAGGTTGGCAGCCTGACTCGTAACCACTACACTACCAGAGCTCCTTGCCTAATGTATAGTAACTAGAATTTCACTTAGATGGAGTCTTCTCTAAAATTACAACTTTTATCTATCTATCTATCTATCTATCTATCTATCTATCTATCTATCTATCTAGAACAAAATCATACAAAAGATTTTAAAGTATCCATTTGCCAAACTGTTTTCTTCAATGTCGATTACAAAATGTTGAAATTTGCATTTGGTTTTTAGATAAGTGGTTGCATTATAGTTTTTTCTAGGAAATGTAAAAGTACTCTGTTTTAAGAAATGTGTTTTCTTAGATTTTTCATTTTACTATTCTAACAGGTCAGTACTGATGCAGGAACAGCAGGAGCCTTGGCTCCACAGCATGTTCGAGCACATTCCTCTCCAGCTTCCCTGCAGCTGGGAGCTGTTTCTCCAGGGACACTGAGCCCCACGGGAGTTGTTTCTGGTCCAGCAGCTGCACCCACTGCTCAACATCTCCGACAGTCTTCTTTTGAAATACCTGATGATGTACCTCTGCCAGCAGGCTGGGAAATGGCGAAAACATCTTCTGGTCAGAGATACTTCTTAAAGTAAGTGAAAATGATGATGTTATTTCATTATATAAGAATAATGTATTTTTGAAAACACTATATGAAAAGCCACATACATTTATACTTTGCTTTGTATTTAAGTCAAGCTCAGGTGGATATATATATATTTATATATATATATATATATTTTTTTTTGTTGTTGTTGTTATTGTTATGTGCCGTGGAGTCGGTTCCGACTCATAGCGACCCTGTACAGGGTTTCCGAGGCTGTAAATCTTTACAGGAGCAGAAAGCCTCATCTTTCTCCCCTGGAACAGCTGATAGTTTCAAAATGCTGACCTTGCGACTCGCAGCCTGATTCGTAACCACTACGCTATCAGAGCTCCATATATATACATGTGTGTGTTTGTGTATATACACTTAGGTATGACTTAAATACCTCTTTAACTTGGATAATATTTTAAAGGTTTGTTTGAACTTGGTTTCAGAGCATTTCCACTGTCTTTTTTTTGTGTGTGGCAGTTTGACTATTTTTGAGTTTGCCACACATTTAATTAGCTGAGCACAAAACTGAATTAAAAAATACCTTGAAATTTTTCAAACTGAGAAGTACAGAACTTACATTGCTCTATGAACTATGTATGGACGGCACTACTAGATCTTTTTAAATAAACATTATCAATAGACAAAAATTACAGATATATTATTGCTGTTAAGTGCCTTTGAGCTAGGACAAATAATGTAGTTTTATTTTTATAGTATATTAAATTATAAAATGGAAAGTACTTCAGCTTCAGTTTTACATGATGTATATATATATATATAGATATAGATATATTTTTTAATGAACAGACTTTATGATTTAGATCAGTTTTTTAGGCTCCCAGGAAAACTGATCAGAAGGTACAACATGCGCCCCAAAGCTTTTGTGTGTGTTTTTTCCAAAATATAAAGAGAAATGTGGAATTTCAGGTTTGGTATATACTCAAACTTCTTTGAAACTATCAGCTCTTTAAAACACTATCTACTTATCTGGGAAAACAAAAACAAGGCAGTTCTGTTACATATTTTTATCAAGTTTTTTGTCTTTAATGAAATTACATAATTGCATTAAAACTGAAAAGATTTAAGTATAATTTTATCATCTCTGGTTTAGAAAATATAGATAAGACTATATTTTTATCTGGCTTGTTTGAATTAAGTATATGCAAAATGTCTAAAACAAATTACTATAGACTGCAGTCCAATCCAACCTAAGTTTTGATCGAGATCTGTTTGGGCGATCTATTCCTTAGGTAAATGTAATACTTAATATATTAGATATATAACAAATAGAATTGATGATACTGTTTTTCATAGTGGATTGTTACTTTGTAAGAAACAAAGTTTTGTGACAGGCTTATTTTAGAGGAAGAGCAAGGAAAAAGATTTGGTCTTAAAAAATTTCTTTTTATACCCTTCCCTGCAACTTTTTTTCTTCTTTTAAAATTCATTTTCTGGCGTCCTGGTATCCATTTCAAAGGGTCAGGTTTCCACCAGAACAATAAAGAGCCTTAAACTGAAAAGTACATACAAGTCTGGCAAAACTCATCTGCATGAGCAAGATCATTTGTTCTCAAGCAGACTTCCAAAGTAAATGATTGAAAGAGCTGCTAGCTGTGAGAGATGTCTTGAAGGGGAAAGGAGTGGAAACAAACCAGGTTGTTAGGAAGAGAAAGAAAGGCTGTACTTTTTTGAACCTCTCCCTGCTGGGTCACATGCTGACCTGGGGAGATTATTAAACAGCCTGATCGTCTACTTCCCTTCTGCTTTCTTTGGTTGATGGTATGGCTAAAAGTAGAAGCTGAAAGAGTAGTGTTTATACTCTTGTTTTTCAGCCTCATAACTTGTAGTAACTGCTTACAGGTGACATCTGTCTGCCTTTTCATTGTTTTGAGTAAGTGAACATTTTGAAGTAAATATTCTATACATTTATTTGTTTACTTATTTTATCTTTTTTTCCCCAAACTTTTTATTGTGAATTGAGTAAAGGTTTACAGTCTCACATTCAACAAATAACTACATTTTGTGTCATTACAATGCTAGCAGTCCATTCCATGTACCAACCATCAGTCAACAGTATTTACCTCTATTCACTTTAAATTTTTTCCCATCCTCTCCCACCTGACCCTTAACCATCTTAGAATGTTTGATTAGCAAGAAAATATATATATTTTTAACTCTTTACAACAGTGGTCTCATGCAATATATATTCTTTTGTGATTGACTAATTACACTTAGCATCTACACTTTAATTTGTTTTTTTTTTTTTTGAATTTTCTCATAGTTCTTTTGAGAGCAAATGTTTCTTGTAAGTGTTGATGCAGATTAATTAATGAAAAAATGTACACACACCACATCACACTACATATCTTGAGTGGGCTTGTGGAGAATGTAAATTGATAAGAAATTTATGCCATATGAGTAGTAGTTACGGCAATGTAGAGAAGTTTATCTGGAAAAACAAAAAACTGGGAATAAAAGAAGACATGATTATTGTTTTAAGATTTTTAAGGGACTCGCATGTGGAAGCAAAATTCAGGCTTATTTTATGATAAATATGAATATTTTTGCTTTCATGTAAGTATTTTTTCATGTCGAACTTTTTAGAAATAGCAGAGGTTTCCCTGAAAGCCTAGGGTCTTGGTCATTAAAAAGCAGGAAAAGCATGGATGAATTGATATCTGTTAGGGATTTTATGATAAAGCTATACAAATTCTGACTCTTTGTGACTGTGACTCTGTAGGAAAGAATTGAACTGTCCTCTAGGCTTTCCAAGACTGCAAATTACTATGGAGCCAGAGTGCTTGATGCATCATTTTGTGGAGTAGTCTAGTATGTTCATAGTTTCATCCATTTGCTTAGCAGCTAAACCTTTAAACACTGTACCACCAGGACTCCTTAGGGATTGTGTAGAGAGAACTATAGCATTAGATATGGAAGGATAGGAACTGTGGGCCTATAAAATGTTACATTCTGATTAAAAGTATCTACTCTGTGATCAGTGTGCAGTTTGAGATAAAATCAGTTCACCCTTCCTTAATTGTCAGTTACTTCAATGAAGCTACACTTTATAAACATTCATGAGGGCTGAATGAGTTGTCATAAACTAGACATTTCTGTGTATTACACAAATATTGTGTGCTGTCAGAGTTGATTCCAACTCATAGCAACTACAAGTGACAACAGAACTGCCCCATGGGGTTTTTTTTTTTTTAAGCTGGAATCTTAATGGAATCAGATCATCATGTGTTTTCCCTCTGGAGTAACTGGGTAGGTTTGAACTGCCAAACTTTTTAGTTAGTAACCAAGCACTTAGTCATTGTACCACCTTAAGTGAGGATCATGTCTGTCTTGACTGGGATTAAGATAATAAACTTCAGATTTTGGGTCACGTTGCTACTGTCAAAACTAATTTTATATTATAGTTTTGTTTTTGATGTTTTAACGTCAGGCTGTCTTTGAAATCAATGCTTAGTATTTTTCTCTTCGTTATAAAGATGACAACTTGTTGCCAGCCAAATTTAGGAAGCTTCATGTTAGTTGCAAACATTATACTCATCTCAAAAGTGAAAAATTTATATACATCTTGATATGTTCATGTTGGAATGTTTAAGTTACAGAATAATGTAATTTATCGCAATTTTTACTTGGCATGAAAAAGTCTGATTATAAATGGTCCAGACATGCAGGATGATTTCATTTGATTGAACACTAACACTTTGAATTGCTGACTCTGGAAACGACAACTTGTTGCCATAGATGAAGGAGATTTTAAAGTGATGTGCCCTCTTCTCTAGTTTCAAGGTTGTAGGCAGGTGGTCATTGTATTTTTAAATCACCATAGCTCACTGGAGGAGCCCTGGTGGTGGAACAGTGGTTAAGTGTTCAACTTCTAACTGGAAGGTGGCACTTTGAACCCAGCTGCAATGAGGAAAGACTGTGATCTGCTTTATCTGCTCTTGGAAACCCCTATGGAACTTTTGTGCTTTGTAACATAGGTTCCCTATGTTCAAACAACAAACAATTAGCTCAGTGAGATCTCTTCTGGAGAAGACTTGTCCTCAGTTTTGGCATAAATGTGTGATGGATGTATCGTACCCACTCAAACCCAAGGCTGTCAATTCAATTCCAACTCCTAGTGACCCTGTAGGAGAGAGTTGTTGTTAAGTGTCTTCAAAGACCATGTATAGGATTTCCGAGTAGTGTCTGGTAGCTTTGAACCACTGACCTTGCTGTTAGCCATCCAGCAATTAACCTACAGTGCCATACCAGGACTCCATAGGACAGAGTAGAACTGCCCAGTAGGATGTCCAAGGTTGTAAGTCTTCAGGGAAGCAGACTGCCGTATCTTTCTCACGTGAAGTGACTGGTGGGTTCAAACTGTTGACCTTTTGGTTAGCAGCCCAGATTAAACTGGCTATGCCTCTAGGGTTGCTTGGATGTATGATACTTATTCAAGCTCTGGTATGATAGTAAAGTATGTAAAAGAGTCTTAGTCTGTATATTACATATATAATCTACTTTATTTGCTTTTGGAGACTAATTTCTTCAAGATAGTACAATAAGGTTTATTTTAAAAGAACTCATTATCTTTATTACTCTGAGAATTGTTGCTTTCTTCAGCTGTCTTATACTTTTCCTACAGGAAATAGTTCTTCAAGTAGTGGGTCAACAACTTCCTATCTCTTTCTTTATAAGCTGCTGAATAACTTCCTGAATTGGTTTTCTATAATACTTCTGGTTAAAAGGAACATTTTCACTTCTCAGATTTATTGTATTAAATCAAATACCTTATCACTTTAGCATATAAAAATAATTTTTTCTACATATTATGGCATGTAGGACCTTATGCTTGATTTTAAAAATCTGATCTAATGATTTTAAAATGGTGTGTGTATTTGTAGTATTTTAATTATTTCTAATAATCTTTAAAAGATGATTTTATTTCCTTTTAGTTCTTTATCATTTTCTCAATAACTAACAAGCCAAATAGCCAC